ACTATCTCTTTGTGTATGGGTGTTATCTCACTATCATAGAGATAACCTTACCTCAACCAAAACATTTATTATGCAAAACCACTCACTCTATGCATTTTATTTAGTTGTTTCATTAGAGGTTTCATATAGTCTCTTATTCACTCTAAATGCACCTTATTTCATTATATCATTGCTATGTTTTTGTTCTTTAGAAACATGAACTTCATGTAGTCACTTTATATAGTTCAATTATGAATTATCACTTATGATTTTGTTTTTTTAGACATATGTTAAATTATTTTTCCAATTTATAGTTCCTAGTTTAAAATTATTTCATTGTGCATTAAATATAATTTATATGATATATTTTAAGTTATTTTTCAATATCTTTCTGAATTTTACGATTCATACAATTTATGATTCACGATTAAAAAAATAGTTTGGTGATCTTCAAATTGAATTGGGATTCCCTAAGCTTCTTCCCACATTTCGTTATTAGTTTTTGTACCCGTCTTGGAATTTCATTTATATGGAAATCTTTTATTTCAACGAAAGGATGATAGACAATAGTAATTTGTTTGTAAGATTGGATCTCTAGGGCTCCTAATTACAATTTTACACCATCATTGTTAGGGATGAAAATTCGGATTGACACGATACGATATGAATTTAACACAAATATAATTAAGGGATATGATTCGTTTACAAACTTTTTTTACAAATTACACTAAGTAGACCGGTCATACACTGCATGATTAAAGTATGATTGGTCGTACTAAGTATAGTTTGTAAGAGTTTGTAAACAAAAAAGTTTGTAAATATAACATGCCCCTATAATCAATACAAATATGATACAAATTAAAAAATAAGTTAAAACCTTCTACATGAACACAATCCATTTATTTTGCATGTTGACACGATATGATATTAATAACTCACCAATCTCAAAGTGTGTCACTTATTATATGGATTGACATGATACGACACAACACTAACAACATGCCAACCTCAAAGTGCATAGCTTATTATGCGAATTAGATACAAATAAACTGTAAAAAGATTAGTGCGAGTCAATTTCATGTTTGGAGGTTAATATGTAATACGACATTATTTTTTGGTGACTGTTTTTGCCAATACGAACACAACACAAATTCAAAACGAGTTCATCTGATCATGAATTTCTCGTATTGTGTTAAAAACTATCATCCCTAATCACGACATGTACATTCGAAGTTTCCGACAATAAATGTAGTAAAAGTTTCACATTTGCTTGAAGTTTGCAATTATAATTAAAAAAAAGTGTTGTCTCCCACTTCTTTAATGGGTGGCCAAATCAACACAGAAATAAGTTACTTAACTGGTATTTATTGAATAAGTTACCTTAGTAATATTTGGGGAATATCATTTCTAAATCTGTGGCAGAAAAAAAAAGTCTGGTTCCGATAGTGAAAATGGAATAGGTCCATCATTTAATCAGTTTCTCTCTCTTTCATTTACTCTCTGTGGCAATTTTCTTTCTGCCATGGAAGCATAAATGTTATTCCTTAATATTTATTATTATATTCGTGATATGTTTGAGAATTTGAAAGGCAAATAGAGGTTTTTTTTAAAGGATTGGTTTTAGGGCACTCACTTATTTCTCACCACAAAGACTATTACATGATAGTAGTTTTAAAAGATTTTATTATAAAATAGGCGATATTATGTGAACTGTTTGCTGGTGTTGTTTATGGTCCTCTTGATGGATGGTTTATGAATGTTGCTATAAAATTCTCTCTAAGGCTGTAAGGACAAAATAGGGTGTTGCATATGCGAAGACTCCAAACGTTTAAATTAGTATGTATATCAAGATGAAGAACAGTATAAAAAATATGCATACCCAAGGGTATTCATATAAATATAGGCAACTATAAGAGTGCAATGTGATCAAGATCACAGAGGAAAGATGTTAGGTTCCTTTTTAGCAAAAAGAATAAGACTAAGGAAAGGAGAAAAAATAAATTAAATGGAGCAATTTTCTGATATCTTTTCATTCATAATGGGTCTTTAAATAAAATTACAACTGAAACAGAAATAGTAAAAAAAAATGGAAAGTAACTACCTAACTAAACAATATGGAAAATAACTACCCAACTAAACAATATGGAGAATAACTATCTAACTAAACAACGCAAAAAACATTGAAATGCAGTTACATATTCATGGGATCATGGGTTTGTATGAAAAGATCCATGTGTTATTAGTAAAAAAAATTAAAGAAAATAAAAAAAATAAAAAATCAAGATGTTATTTACAATCTAAAATACTTCTATAGCCCAAACCATGATATTTAGGGGTGTTCATCAACCGATTCAAACCACGATGACCGAACCGAAAAATCGAAAATCGATTTTTTTTTTTGCAAATTTTAATTGGATTGGATCGGTTTTCGGATTGGTTGATGAAAATCGATCCAATCTAAACCGAACCAACATATTAATTTCCCTCTACCTACTTGGGTCTTTTTCAATCATAGCCAAAAAATTTCTAAATCCAAGATCCATTAACCCATCAACTAAACCCAAAAAAAAAATCTAGCCACATCTCATCAACAAAATTTCATCTATGTAGTGTTTCATATCTCATTGTTAAAAAAAAAAAATTATTGTTTATCGATGCTTTTGATTTAAAAAAATAAATAAATTTACACAGCCAATATATACAAAAGATGTTATTTGCACAATAATCATGAAAAAATCGAAAAACGATCCAATCCAAACCGGAAAAAATTGGATTGGATTTGAAAAAAAATTCAAACCAAATGGATGATTATATGATCAAACCGAAAGGATTGGATCAGATGATTTTTGCTTCCAAAACCGATCCAATTCAGACCGCGAACACCCCTAATGATATTGACCCAAAATAACGACTAAGCGAGATTGTTGGGAGGACAAAAACGCTCAAGCTCAAAAAAAGTACAAACAACCAAATGATGGTAGTTTAGTTAGTGCATGAGAGCTGAATAAGTGATTGTGAAAACATGTGTTCAATCCTCCCGAGTATCACATTCTAGACAAATTTAAAGCCTTAATCCTGATCCCGCCCAGAATCGGACTAGTCGTGAAACGATGAACCATTAAAATGTTTCCAAAAAAAAGCGTACAAACTCTATTCAAATCCAGTGTTTTAAAACTCGGATCGGTCATCGACTCAGTCGAGATATTGAGTCACTGATTATTGGTTCAACCAGATATACTATTGACATATTTTAAAAATATAAATATATTACTTATAATAATACGAAGAAAGTGAATGGTAATAAATGGTATAAATGAAAGAATAATGTTATCTCTATGTGCAACAAAAAATGACAGCATTATATTTTTTATCTTAACAGTTTGCATAATTTACAATTTTTTAATCAAATCTCCATAAAGGTAATTGGAATGCATAAAAATAAAAGAATAATATTAAGTTATTAACTAAATGCATAAAAATAAAAGACTAATATTAACTAGATTATGTAAAATTGGCGCATTTCATCATCTCTCCTGAGTCTAACCCCATCAGAGAGGTATAAGAAATCTGTGAATCAATGTTAAAAGTGGATCTTGGAAATCAACGGCCATCATAAGCTAGTAAAAAAGTGAGACAAAATAAGATCATCATCTCTAAGATTTTATGCACTTTGAAACGATACAGAGCAAATGTGATATAAAAATTACTGCACTATGGATATTTCTTTATAAGTATAAAAGCATAAATGATGAAAACAACGACAATACCAATTATCCAAATACTTTCATAAAATATAGGCCTTTTTCAATTACAAAATATATTAATAGGAAGAAAAGTATGAATGTACAACTGGGGAGTGATAAAAAATTGGCTCCCAACCAGAGCTTTGTTTCTTTTTTATTTTTCTAAGTTGAAAAATCAAATTGTTTATACAATCTTGTTTCAATTTCAAGCTCATGATGCAGGTCCAGCTTACTTAAGACTTCCCTCCCCCCCCCTTTTGTTTGAATAAGAAGCAGACTTAAAAATAATGGGTCAATTTTCCAAAAAAAAGAGTCAACCGAGTGTCGTTTAACCCACTGAGACTCGATCGGGTCAACCAGACTAAACCGAGTTAAGTGCATGACCGATCTAAATAATCACTCGAATTGATGGCCTGGTAACCAAAATTCATATCTATCAGAGTTTTAAAATACTTTTGAAATCTCTAAAACTTGTTTAGTCAACAACCTATGTGGCCATCATTCTATATCTATCCTCATATTCAACAATTTGGCTAGTATATTCTCTCCAAAAGCTTATGGATTATAAAAATTCAAATAAAAGTGCATATTAGATGATTCCACTAATGCCTATTGCAGTATACACATGATTACGAAAATGATTAGAACATATTATTCATCCAAAACAAATGATTTAGGCACACTCAATAAAATTAGAAAAATCGTGATAAAAATAATTTCACTGACCTAACTATTTGTTAAAGAAATATGATACATTTTAGTAAGGCAGTTTTAACATAAAAATATCGGCATTGGTATTGATATTAACACTAGTGATACGTTTCATTTGCTGAAAAAATAAGGTATACGACGGCACTAAAAGAATTGTACTTTCTTATATTGTTAAAGTACCGAACAAAATGGTATAAGTACCGAACAAAAGTAACTCAAGGGATAACATAAATCTCTAGATTTTTCTTTCCAACTGAAACAGGTTACAAAATATTGTTGAAGGTAGAAAAATAGAAAAATCCAGTAACTCATATTCCTTCATATATTTCAATTTTATTGAAGGTAAAATAATTCACAACACAAAAGGTATTATGGTATATTTTTGCGTTATAGTATGAATAAATATTGCAATTCTTTATAGACGTATGTTGGTCACTAAAAACGAATAATACAAGAGATGGGAACCTGGGCTTTTTTTTTTGGTACACAGCCTGGGCTTTTACCCGTTTAAGAAAAAATAAAATAAAAATGGGAACGATGTTGCGGTGCACCATTGGGCCTTGATGGAAGGTATCTGTGTTGAGTTGGGAGTGTTTCGATTTTCGAAGAAGGAAAAATGTTGATTCGGCGATTGCCTTGGATGGCGATTTCTGTGGCCGCACCAGTTCCGTTCCATTTCGGTGGTAACAGTGGAATTTGCATTCCCATTCGAAAGCAACTTACCTTTTCCCTTCTATCATTCTGCTCCAGCTCCGGCGTCCATCTTCCTCAACAATCTGTAAATTTCATTTCGACGCAATGCCTAGGGTTAATTCATTCCATTTCATTTCTTGCAATACTCACTGTGTTTGAGTTTCCACTCGTAGGGACACGAAGTGGATAATCGTCGCTCGCAATCTCTGAAACCTGGTCTTTATCTAGTAGGAACACCAATTGGAAACCTCGAAGATATCACCTTCAGGTATGGTACATTTATATTTTCCTAATCCTCTTCTTCACTTGTTTGTTTACTGTTTAACAATTAGCACACTTTGTTTGTTGTTTGTGGATGCGCAGGGCTATCCGCGTGCTGAACTCAGCAGATGTTATACTCTCAGAGGACACGAGGCACTCTGGGAAGTTGCTTCATCACTATAATATCAAAACACCCCTTGTAAGCTTCTTCTTTTTCCCCCCATCTTGCAACCAATCAACTTATAATTCTAATACTCTTCTCTAGATCTTCAGATGAGTTATCACAGATTCAATGAATCACAAAGGGAACAGGTTGTGTTGAAGAGGTTGAAGCAGGGTGAGATTGTGGCACTTATAAGTGATGCTGGAACGCCAGGCATCAGTGATCCTGGTATGGAATTGGTAAGTATGCTGTTGCTATGCTTATTTATTCTTGTCAACATTTCTATTTGTAGATTATTTTATTATTATTTATAATTTTCATCATAAAGCTTATCAAATATTAATGCAGGCCAAATTATGTGTTAATGAAAATATCCCTGTTGTTCCAATCCCTGGGCCCTGTGCTTTGGTATCAGCTCTTTCTGCCTCGGGTTTACCTACTGATGAATTTACATTTGGTAATTAACTGGCTTCTTTGGAAACTTTGGCATTTATGGTATTTTGGGACCTAACATGACTGTCACAACTTATATTTCTGTAGTTGGTTTCCTTCCAAAACATTCGGGATCAAGAAGAAAAAGACTCATGGTTTCAGCGGATCAAACAACAACACAAATATTTTATGTTCCTCCTCACAAGCTCTCTCAGTTTCTAGAAGAGAGTATTTCAATTTTTGGTAATGCAAGGTACTGAGAGTTTGGCTAAACCACGATGTTATAACTTATAATGCTTAGTTTGACGAATAAAAGTACTATATGCTTGTAAACCTTTTCTTCTAATCAGTATCCTTCTTGTCTCCCACTTTTAAATCTTGCAGTTGGAAAATCCATTGATTTTTTTTTTTTTGTGTTGTGATATATTAATCATTGAGTTTCTGTACCATAAGTCCATAACTTGTTTGTTTATTTTATCATTCAACTCTGGCATGAATTTTGATTCATCCTATGTACTAATGCCCCAAAACTGAGAATCCATATTATGTTATCCGGTTTATTGGCGTTTTTTGGCTGATTCATAGATCTTTTCTGAGTTTTTTTTTTTTTTTTTTTTTGAGTCATTGGTTGGTTGACTCTTCAATTTGATGGTATTGCAGGCGATGTGTTATTGCTCGGGAAATAACTAAGTTACATGAAGAGGTAAGTTTAGCACTTATCCCTCACAATCACAAGTCAGTATTCAGCAGTTTAAAACTTACTTTACATTGGTTAATTATCTTATTTCTATTATGGTTATTTTGAGGCTGTTAATTCTATAACTACTTTTCACTTAATCTGTGTTAATAAGAATTAAGAGGCCATTAGTTTTTTTTTTTTCCTTTTTATATGTCACAACAATGGGATAAATTAAATAAAGTTTATCATAGTAATGGTGTCTTGTTATAGCCTTCTTCCTTGCCATGCATGTGAGCTAACTATTTTTCTCATGAAAAAATATTTCTTTTTATGTCTTGCTAAATTTTTTTACTATTCCTTAACTACGGTTACTGCAGTATGCCTGATTCCAGGATTTGAAATTGCTATTTTTATATCTGATGTTGGCCTTAACTTAAACACACTGTGTAGTATTATGAGGGGCAAGGCTGAGGATGTGTGACTTTGTGTTTGTGGCTTCTTGAGCGCACAGTTATGCAAGTTATTAGCAACCCATCAGAATGCTTCTGTTCTGTTGAATTTCGTTAACAGTGTGCTCAATCGATATGCAGTATATCTTGTTCTCTTAGGTTCTTTTTTTTTTACTGACCTAGAGGATATTGCTTCTGTAGTTTTGGCGTGGTACTCTTGGTGAAGCCAAGGAAGTATTTTCGATTCGTCAGCCAAAGGGAGAACTTACCATATTGATTGAAGGGCAAGCAAATTCTAAAGTTGAACCTCCATCAGACGTTGAGCTTGAGAGTGAACTAAGAGAATTGATTGCAAGTGGCAATAGTCTTTCCACGGTAATAGCTTCCTTATATTTGGACACCTTCAAATTTAGTTTGCGCTGAAGCTTGGTATAGATAAAAAACCAATCATGGATTGTCCATGATTTAAGCTGGTCAAGCTGATGAAAATGGATGTGGATTTGGACACGTGGTTCTGCATGGCTTTGCAAAAGTGATCATTAATTTATCCAGGTTTAAAGTTAAAAGAAAAGTGGCAAGAGAGAAAAGTTTATGTCCATACAATGGGCAAATAATCATTTTGAGCTAAAGTGGTCCTCCATTTTTTTCTTCCATTTAATTGATGTTGCCTCATCATATTTGTGAAAAAATCTCGTTCAGTTATGGAACCTTTTCCGTCTTCATTCTCAATGCATTACACATGATCTAAATCTTTTTCTTCTTTATTCCAGTATTTTAACTTTTCAACGTTTAATAACTTCTTAATTTCAATGCATTTGTTCATTAATTCTGACCGCTGTTGTATATTTAGGCTGTCAAATTGGTTGCCGGCAGAACATCAGTGAGTAGAAAAACTATATATTCACTTGCATTAACAAAATTTGGGAAGCAGCTTGAAGTGGAAGGTGATTCTAATTAATGCAGATAATTCCTGTAGGTAAGTTTGACATTACTGTGCTGGTGTTTGATCCATGCCATTTTTTGTTCTGGTTAAGGTGGAAGGGCCGGCTTGGCTCAGCGGTAAGCTTGCTTGTCGTGGTGTGTCAGGTCGCGGGTCCGAATCAGCCTCTCTGCAAAAAGCAGGGGAAAGACTGCCTAGAGTATTCCCTTCCCCAGACACTCACGAAGTGGGTATTTGAACTGGGTCGGCCCTTTTATAGTTCTCATAAAGCATAGAGTAGTCTGTAATTAACAAGAGAAGGCATCGTTTAGTTGTCTCTGTTGCTTACTCCTTAAACTGGGATTGCGATGGGATTCCAGCTGCAGGAATGGTTTACCACTGCTGTGGAAGCACCGATCATATTAAGAATGACTGGGTTAGTGTACTGAGCGTCCACATTGTTGCCTTGGCTCCCCATTGTACGGGTCTTTAGAACACTCTCCAATAGGACAACATAATTGATTTTAAATTGGCTACTCTGGGCAAGGTAGCTGGGAATGGGCTGTCCGGTCGTTCTGGCGAGGAAAAGGATACAGCTGAATTCTTCATTTGCTTTTCTATCCAATCTGCTTCTGCAACTTAATATGATTGTGGTGAACCACTGTTTTATTTAGCTGCCCAACTTGTCTTGATTGCGTACAGAGTGCATGGTTTTGGATTCTGCTGATGTAAAATGTGAATACATATAACCTAGTAATTTAGTAAATTCCTTTGGTCTGACAATCGACAACCATATAGGAGAACTATGCTACATCTGTTAATACCCGAGTCCCATCATTCTCATGCATGTCCCTTTGGTATGTAAGCTTTGTTCTAGTTTTCGATCAAGACAAGCGGAGCTGTCAGCTGAAGATGGTGGTATTTTTACAAATCCCCACTTGCTATCCCGTATTTGGTACGAATTGGGTTCCGTTATTCGTTCTCCTCTTAAAATAGTATACCAACAGTATGGCTGTGTATAAACATTTAGAAATTCTATTTTTTTTTTTTTTTTGAAGCCATGACATCATTGTTTGTGTTGTATTGTGCTAGAATTTTTTATTTTTGAAAAGAAAAAAGAAAAACAAGTTTACATATAATAACACTTTCAATGTTTTATGCATAAATCATTATTTTAGTTTATATTATGAACTTTTGTATGACATTTTCCCAATTATAATCTAGAATAAACTGGTATTTCCTGATGAATAAATGGATCATTGAGCTTTGATTACGGGCCCTTGAAGTTTTATGATGATTCGTTAGCTAGCTGACAGCTCTAATGAATATGCCGATAAATAAGACCCATCAAGTGCATAGAGGTGGCCCGGGTGGGATTGAACTTTCTGGAATAGTGACCATTTTGTCACACTTCAGTAAATTATTTATCAGGCTGTCACGTTAACAGTAAAAATTTCCGGAATGCCGCGCGGTATAATTTGCTACAATGTGCAGCGAAATATGTTTGCAAATAATTCGCTACACAGTGTAGCAAATTATGTCATGTCAGACTGCACAGTCAGCAAAAATGACACGTGTCAAGCGGGCAGTAATTTGCTACACTGTGTAGCGAATTATGCTTGTATTACTGCCTGCTTGACACGTGTTATTACTGCTGACTGTGTAGCCTGATATGGCATAATTCGCTACACTGTATAGCGAATTATTTACAAACATATTTCGCTGCACAGTGTAGCGAATTATGGAACGTGGCATTCCGAAATTTTTTACTGTTGGCGTGATAATCTAGTAAATAATTTGGCGAGACTTGACAAAATGATCACTGTTCCGAACTTTCGAAGACATCCTTAAATTTCATAAACAAAAAACTGTTCCCTTACCACCAAAAAAAAAATAAAAATAAAACAAAAGGTTCCCTTCATTGTGATTAACTTATTATCATTATTAATAAATACGGAAGACTTTGTTTTATGAAGAGTCAATGTAATTAAATATTGTGAAAATACATAGGTAAAATATTATCATTCAGTAAATGTTATATGAAATTTACATAGTGGGACGTCCCGGTTTCCATATTAAATGTTCTGATATACAATACTCGTTTCTCTTAGCTAAAAGAGTAAAAGACAGAGAATTCTAATATATCTGGAAGAATTTATGTACAAGGAATTTGGATGGGTAATAAAAGCGGAAAGCCTTCTTCATTCTTTTAAAAGGCACAGATAGTGAAAATGCTGAATATTCAGAGAGAGAGAGAGAAACTGGAAACAGCTGCGTGTTTGTGGACATAACAACCAAATCAGACGGTCGGTCGGGATCACGGGCGCCACTCTGCGACATGTCATGTGCATATTGGCATTTTCCCCTCGGCAGGCCCCACCATTCCCTGAGATTGAGTCCCACCTATAACCCAACTCCATCAACATTTTCACCCCTGTAATCTCACTCAGATAGCTACCCCCTCAACCAACCATACCGTTAAAAAAGAAAAAAGAAAAAAGAAAAGAAAAACCCTCCCTGTAATTCCTTTTTCTTTTTCTGCTTTGTAATTCAAAACCATGATAGTACAACACCGTTTATTGTTTACGCCCTAAACTAACTACTTAACAACATTCCGTTCCCCTGTTTATCTATTTCCAGTTTTTTTGTCATATCATCGTTGGTGTTGGTGTTGGAAGGCTCAAATTGAAATATTCGCTGGCCTGTGGCTAAGATTCGGCGGGGGTCGAATTGCATCTTCCTGGCATAGAATTGGGTCCACTTATCTCCAAAGTGGTCCATCCACTCCTGTTGTGTTGTGTAATGGGGCAGGTACTGTTTCACCTTGATCTCCGAATCATGACAGAATCTCAGAATCTGACGGTTCTGATTAGTCAGGTACTCCACTGTCTCAGTATCCAAAGCTGATCTCAGAAATGCCACCAGGTAAAACACCTCCTCGTCTGGTGTCACCACCGAGCTCCGATGGTCCCACCTACCACAATTATCACATCACCACGCCCATCAGCAAAAACATGTTTTGGATTTTTCTTTTCATGCATGCAATGATGCAACATGGTACTAGTAGACAGACAGTAGTCGCTGGGCTTTACTTTCTACGTTGTTAACAATGGTTTGACTTGTCAGAGACCGATGGAGGCCAAGGTGGATGGAATACTGGAATTTCATTATTCTTTTATGTACTTGGATTTTATTTTTTATTTTTGTTTATGAATTCATTATCATTACATGAATTTAGATATTTTTTATACAGATAGTGAAAAAAATAGATAGATGGATGGAATCATGATATACTTATGCGTATTGACCAGGACGAGGATTGGGTGTACATACGGCGGTGTCTATGGAACTAGGTTATAAAACAGGACAGGACAGAACAGGTCATCCCAACAACAATTGTAGGAGTGGGTCCCCATCGAAGATCTTCTGACAGCAGAATCTTCCCAGTTGGATGATCGTGGCCATCCGTTTTTGTTTGCTTCTGGTCGAACAAAGAAAAAGAGCGTAGCACTTCCTAGCTGGCTTTAATGCAGATTTTCATCTGCTGCGTGGTCTACAACCCTCGTGTCTTCATCCTCTTCCTACTACATGCACATCGCTATAGTTGTTCTTTCCACATTTTCGATTTTGGGGTAAGCACTCTTTAGTTTTAGCTACGGTTAATCTTTAGTTCTTGATTACTCTACGACGTCGTGATCTTTATCTTCTTTATTTCAAAACAAATGTCAGTCAATTCAGGAATTATTGAGGACCTGGATAATTATTATAATTAACTTAATTAGAAAGAAACTCATTTTTCTATTAATCATTGGGATTAATACAAACTCATATATATATATATATATATATATACACACACACAGAGGTTCTATTCCCTAATCTTTTCCGACAACAATTCTACCTGTCAATCAGTTGTTGAGAATCTTTACACATTATTATAAGTTCCATAATTATTGGCAATATTCGTTGTGGAATATATGTATTAAGTTTTCCTCTCTTTCGTAGGGTCCTTCTTTCATTCTTTCTTCTTAATTTCCTATAACTCAATTAATAAAGTGGGAAAAGAAAGATGGGGGATAATGGACCTTAACACTGACACCCAATGAGACGTTGTCAGCAACAAACATGTCGCTTATGAGGGGGATCTATGCATGACTGCAAGCATCACAGTTGTTTTATTCTATATATATAAGACAAGGTAGGACATGCATGAATATGATAAGTGAAACAATATATAGGATGGCAATTGGCAAGGACTCAAATAAACTTACTTGTTTTTGTTCATAGGGTAGATGAGGATAGGCCCACTTGTTTTATTCCCCAGAATGCCCTTGAACACACCCTTGTCGAAGTCTGCAATCCTTGATTTTGGAACAAAAAGGTTGAGCCATGGATGCGGGACGTCCCATAAACCCTTGGATCTAAGTTTGAGCTCTGCCTTATGTACACGGTCCAGAAAATCCATATAAGGCAGATCCGTTGTGAAGATCGATGTTGGTATAAACTCTAACTTTTTCAATAGAGCCTGTATTTCCTGCAGCATAAAGAAGTTCAAACTATTAAAATCTTTCATACTGTCTTTATCATCGTTGCCAATGTAAAAGCAATGCAGAACAGTCAAAGCCACCAAGAAATTATAATGTATTATATTTAAAATACGCACAGTCACATGCAAATTAAATAGCTATAAATGATAATGAAAGCTGTTAGCTAGCTAACTAAGGTAGACGCTGCTTTTGTCAGCAGGAAGAACCCCATTATTTTAAGTAGTTAGCCTTGGCAAGAATTAAGAGAATAATTTGGTGGACCGATAGTATAGTATAGTTTAAACTAATTAAAATCTCTAATAAACTATTCTAAAGGTTGCCTTCGGTCTTGCGATTGAATCGAGATGGTAGATTACACAAGATCTTCCTCATGTTTCCTTGTGTATGTTTTATTGCTTTCTCTTGTGCAACTACAAACTGGTCTATTTTACAGAGAATAATCATATACGAGGACAACGATGCAGGGAGAAGCAAGGTTTACATTATAAACAAAAAAATAAAATAAAAGATTTAGTTGGTGATAGAATTCAAATGGAAATGTGATTTTCAAAATTTGAGCAAAAACAAAGAATCATATCAGCACAATGATACAAAAGTAGTTGTGAGATTTGATATATGTAAAAGTATTATTTTGATAAAATTAATCTTACTTAAATGCACAATTAACTATGTTTCAGAATGTGACTAGTTCCTTTAAAGGTAGAACGTTAAGATAGAGGGACTAGTCTAACTAATAATTAAATGTTAAAGTTTAATGGGGTAAAACAGCTGGTATTAAATATTCTGCTTTATTTTGTGCATCGTTAAACAGCTTTCTATCAATCAGTTAAGCAAATCAATGCCATTTTATTCTTTCATGTTTCCCTATATATCCTATCAGATCTCTGGAGGCCTATATGTATTGCAAAAGTCACAAACTGGACGACGAAGTCAGATGACCTAATTATTCTCTCTCTCTCACACATATCTATACAAGTCATTAGAATTTAGATCGATAAAATTATGGATCCTAATAATATAACTTTTTCGAATTGTTTAAATTATGCACATTTTCACATTCTTAATTAGTTAAATGACTTATATAAGAGAGATGATATATCTTGTAATATGTTTAGAAAATGATTTTTTTAGACAAATATTTGTTTTTTTAATTATCTTAAAAAGTTTTTAATTTTAGCCCTTAAAGTAAGCTAATCTAAACACGAACTAAATATATAATTTATTATTCGATCAAATACTGCTTGCACATGCCATAATTTTGAAGACACATACATCACTAGCTAGCTATTGGTAGAATGATTCTTGTGCAAACTTAATGTTTCAAACTTGAGTATACTTTTTAATACACTAAATAAGGTAACATTTGTTTACCAAAAATAAAATAAAATAACGTAACATTTACTTGAGAAAAATTAATGTAACATCAATATTTCAGTGTCTTAATGCACCAAGGGGTCTAACAAATAATATATTAATAGTAATAATTGAAGGAACTTTAAGTGACTGCCACACAATACAAACAAGGGGTTGGGTGTGTACCTCATCAACAGAATCATCATTCCCTTGGTGGTAATTTTTGGTAATCTCCAAGCAGTATAAAACACCTCCATCAGCATTTAGGGAACTGATTTTAACAGGGTTACTAGGTGAAAAGAAGGATGATCTCCAATTATTGATAAGCCCTTCATCCACTATCACAAAACCCTCAACATAGTCGAACTTCTGGCTCGCTGGTTTCCCATGCAGAGAGATGAGAAACTCCTGGTCCTTACAAAAGGTTGAAAAGTTGGAGTACAGAACTCTTATCCAACGAACCTGTTGAATATTGATGATATATTATGGATTTTTTTTGGCACAACAGAATTCCTCGACTCGGTATTCTTTTTTCTTAAATACAAAAAAGAGTAAACAACATTTTGGATCATCAAAAAATATCACCGGATCTAATTTATCTCTTAGAAAAAAAAAAAAGTCTAAGTTGTAGTTTCTCTGAAATTTAAAATAGGTTCATATTAGTCTTGTCGAGGAACTAACGTGAATCTTCTTTGAATTTTAAAAGGATCACAATTTCAACTAACTGAATCTATTTTGAATTTTAGAAAAATCACAAGTAAACTTTTTTTTTTAAGAGATTAAACTGAATCCCGTAATTTTTGTTGAGAACCTAAAAAATACTTTACTCTAAAAAAAAATTTATTTCATTTAAATTCACACTTTTATCTATATTTTTCTTTAATTTCCAATGTTTTGATCTCTCTATATATTATATATCTAACAGTAATGAAATTTTAATATTAAATAGACGATAGGTTACTGTTGTAACTCATGAGTCAGTCACAAGTCATAATTTTCGTTAACCGAGTCTGTTAACAGAAATTAAATAAAATTGAGAGTGGGCCAGGAAGGAAACACGTAAACAAGATTGCCAGCTTTATATTATTAGAAGAAGAGTACCCAAACCATTCCCTCGAAAACGACCCTTTTTAGGTTTTGTCGCTGACGCGAAAAAAGATTTCCTAGAAAAAGGCGTATCATGAACCACACCTATCAACCAATGGAAACCATCTTGAACCCACTTATTTTCCGCTGTTTATTTACACTTATTTGCTTTTAAAAAATATTATAGCGTATGCATTAGAAAATATTTTTTGTATTAATATCATAATATATATATATATTTATATATATGAAATTAATATTTATCATGTATATCTATACAAAAAAATATTTATCATGTATAAGATAATTTTATTTCATATAAAAAAAAAGTATGTAGAATTCCTGTAGATTTATATAAAAAGAAGAGAATTTTTTTTTTATAAATTTCACGTATTTTTTATGTATGTATAAAAAATAATTTTATTTATTATAATATGAGAAATATTAATCTATATATATATATATGGTTTGCTTTTTTTACGGTCAATGTAGATAATTTATCTATATTGTGCCCAAAACAACGTCGTTTTGAGGGGAATTTTTGTAATTATAATTTATTTCAGAGTTATAATAGTTTTTTTCATTATAATTTTTTAATTTTTCAACTCAAAATGACATTGTTTTAACGGCGAATGTAAATAACTTATCTACATTCATTTTAGAAACATTAAATTCATATATATATATACAAGATTTAATATGTCATAATTATTTATTGAAGTGAGTAATATTATAGTTAATGACAAAATATAAGTATGAGGGAGGACAAGAATCCCAAGATTGTGAAACTAGTGGCTTACAAAGAAAGAAAGGACGAATTCACTGTATATGCGTGTGTAAGAAAAGGAGACAAATAAAGTACGTATTAGGAGAGAGAGAGAGAGATACATACTCTGTGAGGAGCCGGTTCGAGAGCAATTCTAGCCCTCGTGATGATTCCAAATTGTCCAAGACCACCAAGAACAGCATGGAACAGCTCCGAGTTACGATCTTCTGAACACGTCAACAGCTCACCCTTTCCTGTTGTCACACAAGTACACATCGGCATAATAACTAATTAATTAACGACACTAAAGACAAATGATCAGTAATTTGATTTGTACATGCACAATGCCATGAAATTAGAGAACTTTAATATTCTTTTGGCCGGGAAGAACAATATTAGTCAGCACAAATTAACATTAAATAATTTTAACAATGAAGAATATATGGTCAAGAGAAATGAATTAATAATCCATGACTAATTAAATTGAGAAATATGAATAAATATATATGTGAATATATAATTAATGTTATAAGGGGTGAACCTGTAACGACGTCGAGCTCATAAACATTGTTGATCTGAGGACCGTGATTGAAGGTTTGTCCACTAATCCCAGCGTTGGATAGGGTTCCACCCACGGACAAATACAAGTAATCGGTCCAAGACATAGGTGCGAGCCCATAATCCAGTGTGGCCCTCAACACATCTATCCACAATTCCCCACCCCACACATCAACATACATTTCTTTCTCCCGCACGCGAGCTGGTCCGTCACCGTCACCGTCACCGTCACCGTCACCACCTAATTTCCCCATTTCAATAACAACCCCTTTCATCCATTTTTTCTCTTTTATCATCAGGGGCAGCAGGGCTTGTCCATTTATTGAATGTCCGTGACCTCTCGCCGACACCGCGAACCCGCCGGAAGTTGACTCATACGCCGCTTGCACCAGCCGTGCCACGTCCTTCGCCGAAACAGGGTGTAGAACCGCCGAAGGCTCTCCTCTGCTTAACTTGCCGAAATCTTCCGAAGCCGCTTCGAGTTCTGACGTGTCAACGCTGAGTTGACCGTCAAGTCCTACACGGAGCAGCTCCGTTGGGACCACCACCGTTAACCCAACCGTTACTATTAAACGGCATACGGCGAATGTTAATAGAAGAAGCTTGTTGTTGTTGATGGCCATTGAATCTTAATTAATTTAATAAATATAGAAATAGAGATGCATGGTACTGTACTACGATTACGATGATGAGTTATATATATTGGATAAGGAAAGTGAATGAGGGAATCGAAGAATGTTGGGAAGCTCAAGAGAAAGAGAACAAAATCTTGGAGCAGTGTTGTGGTGTGGGGAGTCGTGGATTAACGTAAGCAGGATTTCGCTTTAAAGATTTTGTACGCAACATGCACAAACATAAAAGATTCTCCCTGCAGTGTGTCCTCTGCTTCTCTCACTTTCTTCTTTTTAATTTCTCATCACACTCCTTCTTCCCCTAGCTAGGGCTATACCTTTCTTTTTGCTTTTTTTAAATCTCTGCTTGCAATTTAGTAGTGGATGTGTGTAAGAACACGTATACAGAAAGAAATGTAAAAGAGTCGATCTAACAATAAGGGTACTCTTTATCTATTGCCTATCTAGTACTGTATAGGAGGAGAATCTCAGAAAGAAAAGAAAGAGAAGGGTGTCATGTCATGGCATGAAAAAGAAAGTGCGTGAGTGCTGTGAATTGTGATCAACGTGAGTCAGAGTCATTACTGTGAGTTAGGATTTAAGATACCGGCTCTCAATTTATAGGACGGACGGACAGACAACCACGAGAAACTGAAGCCCAGAGTAAAGGCACGTGGATCTTCACGTGAGAGGAGTGACCAGACACGTGCCTGATTGTGGAATACTGCATTTATTGGGTCCTTCTTTTTACGTCCTCTGCTCAAATTCTAGCCTTACAAAGGACCAAACCGAAACATATAAGTACGCAGCAGCAGAAAACTTTTATATTTTTGTATAATCTTATATATCTAACTTAATCGAATTAATTAGTCAATTAAATGAAAAATTAAGGGAGAAATTAAAAGAAAGATTTTTTTGATCGAGTAGAGAAAGGGTAGAGTAGAGGCTGTGATTATCTAAGGGGCTGTCCTTATGAGAAGGGGTGGGAGGGTCCACGTATGGATACGGAGGATCTGTGTGGGGACACAATCGAAGGATTGTTCACGTGGGCGCAGAGACGATCCTTGTCAAGTTCGGGTGCAAATGCAAAGCAAAAAACCAAACGCATATTCTCTCTCTCTCTCTCTGCTCTTCTAGGCTATTTCTTTTTGCCTCTCTTTTATTATTGTTAGTTTAATTAGGCACTTGTAGCAATCATCAACACTCAACATAAGCAGATGTACATGTCTGCTATATGCTAGCTGTATATTAATCATAAGGTCATAATCACTGAATTATGTTCCCATTTCAAATGAAACTTAGCTATCCCCAACTCTCAAGGGTCCCAAATTTAGAAAATCATAGAATCTAAGGCCTAGATTGCATGGAGGTACGTAGTTATAGACTTTATTTAATATATATGGACTATATTATTTTAATTAAAGCTCTACGCACGCGACAATCTCAATGAGCAAGGGGATGTTTGGAGATTATATTAATTTACTCTGCATTACGCATTGGAAATTCCAATTTAATCTCAATTGCGTGCTAACCAAACCCAGACTCATCCAACTATTTTTCTATACCAATTCCAACTTACCACGCACGGAAATAAAATGAAAAAACAGCCTCTATCTAATGCATTGCCCAGCCTTCTCTGAAATCCAAATATATATATATAGAGAGAGAGAACGTACTGTCCGATTTTAATAGTTCTACGAAAGTTCCTATACTCTACCCTAACATAGATTTTTATTTAATTTATTACTATTTTATAACTTAATTTTTTTAACTCATTTAATGTTTAGAATTTACAGGCGATTACATGTTCACAATTGCCTTTATCTCTTATTGCCAGAAATAATTACAAAATAGAGGGAAGAGTGCATGTTTGGTTTGACTAACTTTTTTGAAAAAAATTCATTTTAAAAAATTCAGTAAGATTTTAATTATAAAATATTTGTTGAAGTATAATTTAAGTTAATGTAAATACATATGAATACTCGGGGGTTTTCCCTCCTTAGTTAAAAAAAATTAAAAAAAATACACATGATTAGGTTTTATTAATAAGTTTCAACCCTTATAAATATAGGGTGTAATGTCTTTCATATTATATGATATAATTTTAGAGTTTGCATTTGTCATTTAACATGACACAACAAACTTTCCTACAAACATAACATTTTGTGGGATCCACACTTTTTGAAGGAAAAAAAAATTACAGCACGCAAAACGAATCTCTATAACATTACACAATCACTTTTCCTACAACATAACTATTATAAAACCCTATAATTTTTTCTCTTACAACATATAAAAGTTTGTGAAATTTATATATTTTTTCTCTTTTCTCGACTTAACATGAACTCTACACACTTTTATTATATATATATAGAAGATAAAATTATCTCTTACAATATAAGAAATACTGAACTCGTAAATATATATTTGAAATTTTGGAGTATTCTGGAAATCTGAAACATTGTAAAATTCTTTCTTCCCAACAATGATAAGACTAGACGAACAGTGTAAGACAATTATTTTTTTTGATAACTAAAACTGGCAGTAAGGAAAAGTACTCTATATTGCTGCCAGAGACATGCCCAGGACTTCAAGGGTGTGTTTGGTACAGGAGGAATTTTTTGGTGACCGGGAATCATGATTAATGGAAATTCAGTAGAAATTGAGTTTACTTGGAATCTTACGAAAGATGTGTTTGGTTCGCCAAAATATTACCGGGAATACTGGGTAAAAATTACTGATTCCATGTTTGGTTTAGAACGAAATATGACTTGGAATATGAGGTTATTTTATAAAAATAACCCCAAACTATTTTTACTTTTGTAATTGATAGATTGGGTCTAGATTTTTATGTGTATTGGGTTATTTTTGTCTCAAAATTTATTGTTGTGTTTTCCCTTTAATTGGTATTCTGATTGGTATTCCGAATTACCATATTATTTTTGGTAATATGAATAGTGACTTTTCTTTATAAATCAAATTACCGGTAATCTTTGGATATCCGGGAATCGTAATTTATTCCTTCTACCAAACGTGGTAATTACATTTACCAAAGAAGGATTACCGGTAATTCTCTCCAGAAACTTGAACCAAACACCCCCCAAATGTCTGGCAAAGGATTACTTTGGGGCGAGTTTTGATACGCTGGCATTTTTTTGGATTTTCGAAAAGCTTAAATTTTTTAAAATTTTTAATTTTTAGATATTATCATAAACTAGATATAAAAATTAAATTTTTAAAAATCGAGATTTCCGGACAAAAAAAATTCCTACCGTAACAAATGTCCCTTTAAGATAGTTGTAGGCTTCAGGTTCAGTGGATCTCCTTGAACATAATAGTACTCTACCAACACAGGGCTTTAAGTCGCTTAATGGAGTCTCAAACCCACACACATGGAGAAGACAAACCTAAGGACAAGCTCCTTAATCACATGTACCATCTTGTGTGATAATGTAAGATAATTTTAAATAGGACTTAATATTTTTGAAAATAAAATTATCTTTTATATATATATAAAAGTACGTGGAGCTTTTTTCTTTATATGATTTTATATAGGTTTCATACATCTTTATGTGTATATCAAAAATAATTTTATCTCTTATAATATAAGAAATGTTAATCCTTTTTAAACACAGTAATATTAACCCCACAAACATTAAAACCACACAAATGTTAACCTTATTTGTTTGATTGTCTGTCTGTCTTTTTTTTTTTCCGTTCCTTTTAAAAAAAAGTCTATAATGTTCATGATGAGAACATATACATATATATTCCGCCGGGCCAGGCTTTGCTCGGAGAATAGCATACACAAAATTGGCATTTTCATTCCCTTTCTGCTGAAAACATACTATGAGTCTTGTCATGTCGATAGGAAATATATGCAACGATCTTTCATACCACACAAATACAATATGCTGCTGAATCTGGTCCTCTCATTATTGCAGCGAGATTTCCTTCCTATACAGTATATAAAAGCTACTAGAAACAAATTGTAGGTCAATAATTGAGTCATATATATAACAAATTATATATTAACAACTGGTATCAGAGTCCCCTGGGTCACTGACTAAATTTATCTGTTGTCGTATCTCGTCAAATGCTCAGTTACGTTATACACTGCTCGTTATTACAATATGTTTACCAAAGGGCAACATGTTCCTTTTCATCTTATCTTTTGGTCAGAAATAAACAAGGGTAAAATCTATCTCAAAATCTTTCGTAAAGATCTTGTGACCTTTTAGCATTGAAAGGAACAAGCAGATCCTCTTAGTCATTTTCTGCGAGTGGCCAGTTTGCAGATTTCATATAACTCTACTTATTTTCTGTGTTCATAATTGTTTTCCTCTGCATTCAGCCCATGTTCTGGAGTAACTACTTTTTTTAAATAAATAAATAAATATATATATATATATATATATATATATATATATATATATTATTTTCAAATAATTGCTGAATTTTTATATTTATCGTACCAACCGACATATTCATTTCTATATTACCCTTCGAATTACCCCGGGCCGAAAAAAGAAAAGAAAAGAAAAGAAATAACACCTGAACATTATATCTTTCTTTTTTTCAAAATAATTATTCATTTTTTGAATTCTCTATTTATTTTTAAATATGATTAGTCTCTCATTTTTTATGTTAAATTTAAATCTCTCTCACACAATTTAAGGTAATTAAGCTTATGCAAGAAGATTTTTTATTACATGTATAATAATAATTCTAGTTAAGATTTACCAATAAAAAGGAATGGATAAAAAATTAAAAACTACTTTTAATGAATAAAACGTTGCAGAATAAACAAAGTCAACGGTAAATAAAGTGAAAAATAATAATTAACATATCTTAAATGGAGAAGAAATGAATACGTGAAATATTCAAAATAATAATAATAATCATAAATAATAATAAATGGTAAAATTATGTGTTGTTTATTTTTCAAATTGATTGAAATACATAATATGAAATGGTTAAAAATATTTTAAATTTTTTTATGCAGAATATAT